GGGGGGTAGGGGGGAGGACGTGAAAAGATGGAGAAATAAGCAAGTACGTCTCAGGAGGCTGGGGGATCCAGGGGTCCATGCCTGTCTTTGGAGCAGAGTCCATGTCAAAGGTCCAACAGTTGCCCCCTGTGCCCCCAGGCTCGCCCCCTCGAACTGGGAGTGTCTCCTACATCAACATCATCATGCCTTCGGTCTTCGGCACCATCTGCCTCCTGGGCATCATTGGGAACTCCACGGTCATCTTCGCGGTGGTGAAGAAGTCCAAGCTCCACTGGTGTAGCAATGTCCCTGACATCTTCATCATCAACCTCTCGGTGGTGGACCTCCTCTTCCTCCTGGGCATGCCCTTCATGATCCACCAGCTCATGGGCAATGGCGTCTGGCACTTCGGGGAGACCATGTGCACGCTCATCACTGCCATGGACGCCAACAGTCAGTTCACCAGCACCTATATCCTCACCGCAATGACCATCGACCGCTACCTGGCCACCGTTCACCCCATCTCCTCCACCAAGTTCCGGAAGCCCTCGGTGGCCACGCTAGTGATCTGCCTCCTGTGGGCCCTCTCCTTTATCAGCATCACCCCCGTGTGGCTCTACGCCAGGCTCATCCCCTTCCCAGGCGGCACCGTGGGTTGTGGCATCCGCCTGCCCAACCCGGACACCGACCTCTACTGGTTCACCCTGTACCAGTTTTTCCTGGCCTTTGCCCTGCCCTTTGTGGTCATCACAGCCGCCTACATGAGGATTCTACAGCGCATGACATCCTCCGTGGCCCCGGCCTCCCAACGCAGCATCCGCCTGCGGACAAAGAGGGTGACCCGCACGGCCATCGCCATTTGTCTGGTCTTCTTTGTGTGCTGGGCCCCCTACTATGTGCTGCAGCTGACCCAGCTGTCCATCAGCCGCCCGACCCTCACCTTCGTCTACCTGTACAATGCGGCCATCAGCTTGGGTTACGCCAATAGCTGCCTCAACCCCTTTGTGTACATCGTGCTCTGTGAGACCTTCCGCAAGCGCCTGGTCCTGTCGGTGAAGCCCGCCACCCAGGGGCAGCTCCGCACGGTCAGCAACGCTCAGACGGTGGATGAGGAGAGGACAGAGAGCAAGGGCACTTGACACCCCTCTGCCACCCTGGACACCTCCGATCAGGACATGCCAGCAAACCAGGTGGGAATCTGTGGCAGCCCCGTCTATCCCACTGGCCTACAGGTTGTGGGGGCGCTGGGGAGCCAGGCTCAGGGGCTGCAAACATCAGAACCACACTTGGGAGTTGAGACCTTCGGTCAAACAAGCCACGGCGAGAAAGAACGTTTGGGTTTCAATGTGCGGTTGAGGTCTGCCTCTGTTAGCCCCCCAAATGCCCCCACTATTCCCCCCAAGAGAATAGTTGGGAGGCCCCCAGCTGGGCTTATTTGAGGTCGGGCAGGACTCAGGTGTGAGCAGCTGGGCCCACATTGCAGGCCCCCAAATGCTTCTCCTACTTCTCACCGGCAGAGTGGCAGCCTGTCTCTCAAGCAGGCAGATGATGAAAAATGGAGCGTCACTGTTCTGTCTTCCAGCAGCCCAGGGGTGGGGGTGGGGGTAGGGGTTCCCTGTATCTCCAGGGGAATGCATGCTTATTTGAAAGGGGGGTGGGACTCTGAGCCCCCACAGTGGTAAAAGCCCAACTTATACCAGGTGACCGGCTTACTGGGAGTGACAAGTGAACCAGGGATTAAGGGTGTGTGTGTCTTGAAGCAAAAATGAGGAGGGGGGCTTTTGCAGCTGTGGGGACTTCTCTATGTGGGGACATTCACTGTCAACCGCCAAGTCCAGTGTGAACCTGACCATGCCCTGTGTGGCAGGGGTCACGCTAACACCTGACATGTGGGCATCCTCTTGTTGTCCTGTCTCCCCCCAAATAAAGATAAACACGCGTGAATAAAGGGAAATCTTCACCCCTGTCAGTCTGGAGGCTGCTGTATAATTGCCTGGGGGTGCAAAGAAGGGGGCTTCAAAGGCAAAGAGGAGCTTACTGGTGGTGAGATTGAGAGGTAGGACCCGACTGCATTTTTGTTTGTCTAACCCCCATTCCCCCCACCCCACCCCCGCCCCAGGGGAGACTCAGGAAAACCAATGGAATTATTGCGAACTCATTAGCTCAGGATGCTGGTACTAGGCCGCTCCTCCGGACACAGCTTTGTGCCTTAAGCACAAAAGCCCCTGGAGTCTTTGTCACCAGTGCTGGTCCTCCAGCCCCCAGTTTCAACCTCCGTCCTCACTGAGTCACCCCGCAGAGTTGGCTTCGAGGGACAGCCTGAGCCTAGAGACAGTCTCGGCAGCAGGGGGAGCGGTGTGTGGCTGCTAAGCTCCGGTGTCAGCCACGCTCTGCAGGTAGGTTACAGTGGGCCACTGGGAGGCAGTCACGGCTGCTGCTTTTCAGCTTCTGCAGAACCCAGAGTCCTGGGCAAAACTCTAGGATGATGATGAGACAGTGAGAGCAAAGGCAAGCTGCCCAGCATCAGAGAGCTGCCTCTGCCCAGCCTGTTCCTCTGCCTGCTGGTTTTTGGCTTTCCCTGCAGAGATGCAGCAGGTTGCCTGCTTAGCAAACTGCTAGGCAGGTTCCTTGAGACCTGAGAGCTCTTTCTTGATGAGCTGCTTTAGTAGGCGTAAGGGGCTCTGGTGGTGCCATGAGTTAAGTGCTGGACTGCTCACCTCAAGGTCAGAGTTCAAACCCACTAGTTGCTTCCAAGAGAAAGATGAAGCTCTCTGCTCCTGCAAAGATGTACAACCTCTGCAACCTTAAGGTTTCTGTTCTGTTCCGCTCTGTCCTGTCGGGTTGCTATGAATCAACTTGAGGGCAGTGGGTTAGTAATATTTCATGCTGAACTTTCAGAAGTAGGTCACAAGGCCTTTCTTCCGAGGCAACTCGGGGTGGACTCGAACTTGCGGCCTTTCAGTTAGCAGTCGCGCATGCTCACCCCCTGCACCTCCCAGGGACTCCGCAAGTAAACTCAAATTCTGTTTTGGATGCCTGTCTGACAAAAGTGGAAAGGATTCTTGGGGAAGTCTTGAGAAGCAGATCCCACCCCCAACCCGTGAATTCCAGAGAAGGAGGTTTTCCGGCATCTGGTTTGAGCCCACCTACTGCTCCCTTGAGTATATCTAGCCCCACCCGGCAGGCAGAAGTCTGGGAGAAGAAAGGGGTGTGATGGCCTCTCCAAGGAGGTACAAGGGACCAAGTCCCAACAGCTTTCATGGTAGGGACACACCAGCTGAAGGGCTCAGTGGCTCCTGGGGTAGGCACATCCCCACCTTCCACTCCAGCTCCCCACTGAAGCCACTGAAATGGAAGTCGTGTCTGTCAGCAGTCCCTCGGACACCCAGGAGGTGTCACCGGATGTGAATAAGCATGCCCAGAGGGTAGGGTGGGTCCCTGGTGTTACGAGTGCGAATGCAGAGCTGACTGGACAGTCCGAGGGGCTTGGGAGCTCAATGGAATGGAATGTTGTATGGAATGTTCTTTTCTTCCCCATTCCACCTGGGAAAGCCCCGAAGTGGCCACCGTGGGATGCAGAAAACGACTGAGAAAGGGGCCAAGATCAAACCATTGATCTCTTTGCTCCTCTTTCCCCTCTTCAGTCTGATAAAGACTCTCTCCCACCAGCTCCCGTCAAATCTCGCCCAACCCAGTGCTCCATCTATTCCTTTTCCACTGTGACGATTATGTTCCTAAGCTCGTCCCCAGCGGGATAAGTCCCCAGTGGAGAGAAGCATGACGTCGTCGCGGTCACCCAAGTTGCTAATATGGGAGCATTTATGCACACTGCTGTGCACGGGAGAAGGAGTGCCAAGAATACGGACTAAAGGGCTTCGCTATTAGATGTTTACCAGCTCCAACAAGTAATCACGTGTGCCTGTCGGGAGTCTCTGAGTGGTGGGAATGGTTCATGTGCTCAGCAGCATGCTGCAAGCTTGGTAGTTCAAACCCACCCAAAGGCACCTAGGAAGACAAGCCTGGTGATCGGCTTCCGAAAACTCAGCCACTAGGAGCCCTGAGAGCACAGTGGGGTCACCTAAGCCCCGTGAGTGGAGGTCAGTGGCCATCAGTAACTGGCATGCCTGTTCATGGGGGCAGGGGTGGGGTGGAGAAGCCAGTTCTTCTTCCCTGTGGTTTTGAGATGCTTGTCTTTTTCTTTTTTTTCCATACTCAGCATTTGGCTAGAGAACCACGCATTCCCGGAACCCCCCCAACATTCTGCACATGCTCATTTCTCACCTGTGGCCAACAGTGAGGCAAACCCAACCGGCAAATTGAGTGGAGGATTTCAGAAAAGCAGGCCAGTCCCTCCCAGTGTCCCCTTGGCAGATGGTTACTGAGATCAGACCAAGCTCAATTTTACAATCAACAACGACTGTCAAATGATGCCTAAATTCCTGCATGTGTGGATGTAGAAATGCGGGGGTGGGGTGGGGGCAGGAGGGAGCAGTGTCATGATGTTGGTCATGGTCGTGGTCGTGGTCATGGTCATGGTGGGGGAAGGGTAATGATCCCCCTCTTTGTGGCTGAGTTTCTGCTCACACAGTGACACGCAGCTCACCAGAAGGGCCCCTCTGCAGGCCTGTCTCTCAGAGGACAGCCAAGGGAAGAACTTTCCAGATGGTCCAGAGGCAGGATGGACAAGCTGCCTATTTAATCACCCGCAAAGCTGCCCGCTCCCTCTAGCAGCCAGTGGCTGCCATCTGAAACTACTCCTCTCATTTCTGTCTTCCTTCCTTTCTTTCCTGGGTGTCCTTATCCCTGGCACCGTGCTGAGTATTATACAAGGAGGTATAAAAAGCTCGTGGAAAAAGGGAATGGAAAGAAAATGATTTTTTTCACAAATATTTTGAAGCCCTCTCATGTTTATTTATGAGCTAATTTACTCTTCCCAGTCACACTTTGAAGCAGATAACCCTTTGTTACCCAGTTTACGGAAGGACACACAGTGATTTAGAGATGTTGAAGCGGTGTTGGGTTACTCAGTAAGCAGGGTAAGCAAAGGCTTACTTGTGCCTACTTACTAATTCATCCGGAGCGAACAAGTTCACATTTTTTCACTATATCGAAGATTCTGCTTCTAGGCCAGGCTGGCATCTGTCTCTCTCCCAACCTCCCAGCACCGTCCTACAGAATCAAAGTGTCTTTTCAAAATTTTCAATCCCGGCCACTCGTTGGGAGAAAGGTGAGGGAGGTGCTCTGCTCCCGCCAAGGTGTAGAACCTCACAAACCCTGTCTAGGGTCACTACCAACAGGAGCTGGCTCTCTGGCAGGTGGGCTTGGTTTGAGGTTTTGGGTAGGGATGGAGTTCCCAGTAAGCAAGATAAGCATGGGTTTACATGTGCTTACTAACTCACCCATAGTGCCCAGTGTCACCTGGGCTGATGTGGTGACTGTAATAGAAAATGTAACTCCTGTGAATCACAAGAGCCGGCTGGATCTCTGTGGGCAGGTCCTAGGGGTCACCTACTGCCTCTGGCTCACATCCTTTCTGCCTGCTCATCACCACCTCTCTGCTCCGAGCTGCTCTCTGCACACGCCAGCTCCAGGCTGAGAGATCGGTACAGGGCTTGTCAGAACAGGAAGGAGAGAGCTGAGAGCCCAGATTCCGAAAGGACAAGAACGGCTAACAATCCTTAAGATTTCACAGTCCACCGGTCACCAAACATCTCAGGGACGCCTTCCTGTCCTCTTTTGGCTGCTTTGGTCTGCTGCCTTGTTCCTGAGCCATGGACATAGGGCCTGACCCTTCCCCTGGTCCTCCCTCCTCCCAGTTCCAGGGCCTCTGCATGTCTCCTCCTCAGAAATCCCACAGCCCGCTGTAAAAGGCAAAACCGTCTGTGCCAAGGAAGACACACTCACATTGTTCTGCTGCCCAGAGCAACACATTCCTCTTGGGCTTCTGCCTTTTGAGTTGGGAAGAAAGGGAAAAGAGATGCTCTATGTTGCAATGCTCTCCCAAACTGCTAAATGCTTCTCAAACACAAGTGTGAGTGCTTTTCCTGTGGAAAGTTCTTGCCCCAATCCTTCAAATGGCTGACTGGACCAAACTGTTCAGAGGTCAGCGGACGCAGCATGGAAGGGTTCACGGCCGTCACTGCGGGCCCACAGTTGACTGGAGCTGAGGGGTAACTGACCCTTTTAGGTGAACCCAATGCTCTCTAATCCAAGCAAACCCACTGCTGCAGAGTCGATTCCGACTCATAGTGACCTTATGGGACAGAGTAAACTACCCCTGTGTGTTTCTGAGGCTTTTTATGAGAGCTGAGAGCCTCATCTTTCTCCCTCAGAGCAGCTGGTGGGCTTGAACCACTGACTTGTGGTTCAACCGCCCAACACTTCACTCATTGTAGCACCAGCATTTCTAAATTCTGCCTATGTCTTTAAAGTGAACCAGGGGCATACATAAAGCATAGATATATAGATGGATTTTGAGCTTGCACTTAATTGTAGCCCTCGTGTAAGAACAATGAGTGTCTATGACATGGTCGTGCTCCATACCTGTCTCCATCAAGGGATCACTGAAGGCATGGGTGCTGTAACAAAGTGTGGTGAAGAAACTAGATGGTGCCCATCTGTCAGAAAGAATAGTACCTGGGGTCTTAAA